ATTGACAGTTGAGAGGCGGGACCAAAGAGCCAGAGCTCAACCCCCGCAAGCACAATTAGGTGAATACAACTAGGTGAATACACAGGCGGAAACTGAGTACCCACATGAGCCACAGAAACATTAGAAAGAACTTTTTCAGTGTCAGAGTAGTTAGTAAATGGAATGCATTAGGAAGTGATGTGGTGGAGGCTGACTCCATACACAGTTTCAAGTGTAGATATGATAGAGCCCAGTAGGCTCAGGAACCTGTACACCAGTTGATTGACAGTTGAGAGGCGGGACCATAGAGCCAAAGCTCAACCCCCGCAAGCACAACTAGGTGAGTACACACACATACAGTTAAGACTACTTGCACACCTAGAAAGACTTAGGTTTGTAAGCAAGCAACAACACGACTTTAGGGAAGGGAAATCATGCCTGACGAACCTACTAGAGTTCTATGACAAGGTAACGAAAATAAGGCTGGACAGATTCAAGAAGTGCCATTGAAACCTTGCAACAAGAACACATACGAGACAATATCCATCTGACCACAAATGTCATAGCATTAAGGAGTCAGAGAGTGACAGTGAGGGACGAAGACTCCCACTGGAGTAGAGTAACAAGCGGGGCACCTCAAGGGTTGCTGCTGGCTCCCATACTATTCCTCACGTATGTAAAAGACTTGACTGCAGAAATCGAGTCTTTCATGTCGATGTTTACAGACGCTGCGCAACTAATGATGAGGGTTGAGGCAGTCGAGGATTGCAAGAACCTCCAAGATGACTTGAACAATCTGCAGAATTGGACCGAGAAAAGGCTGCTAGAGTTCAACACTAGCAAGTGCAAGGAGATGGAAATGGGATCAGGAGCCAGGAGACCGATAGGTCAATACATGATGAAGGGAAACTACCTCCCTATAACGACTAGAGAAAAAGACCTGGGAGTGGACATAACACCAAACCTAACTCCAGAGGCTCATATAAATAGAATAACGTCAGCCGCATACTTCTCAAGGAGACTCGTCCCAGAATTTGCGAAGAATAAAGTATGAAGAGAGACTTAAAGAGCTAAATCTGACGACGCTAGACAGGAGAGAGAGAGAGAGGAGACATGATATAGACGTGTAAAATACTTAAGAGGATTGCCAGAGTGGAAACGTAGAACAAGGGGGCACGGATGGAAGCTTGAGACTCAGATGTGTCATAGAGATGTTAGAAAGCTGTCAGCGTAAGAGTAGCGAGTAAATGGAATGACCTAAATGAACAGGCTGTAAAGGCAATCTCAATTCACAACTGAGAGAGAGAGAGAGAGAGAGAGAGAGAGAGAGAGAGAGAGAGAGAGAGAGAGAGAGAGAGAGAGAGAGAGAGAGAGAGAGAGAGAGAGAGCGAGAGAGAGAGAGAGAGAGAGAGAGAGAGAGAGAGAGAGAGAGAGAGAGAGAGAGAGAGAGAGCGAGAGCGAGAGAGAGAGAGAGAGAGCGCTGAAGCGTTAAGACACCGACACAAAGGGGAAAATTCTTTCGCGAAGTAAAAATTTGCGGAAGATGTTTACAAAAAGTGTAAGTGGAATGTTGCGGGTGTTGATGAAGACCTCAGCTCCCGGCCCCACCCCCGGAACAAAGGCCACCAGGTGAGTGCTCTCCCTACCCCAAACAAGAATTCCGACAATACTTAAATCAACCTTCAACCTTTCTTTCCGCCACGACTATACCCACATAAAGCTTGGCGAGGACTGTGTGATTACTCTCAATACTCTCTCATTATATTCAAATTACCCATGATATTCCATGCCTTAAGTGCTGATAACAAAGGCCCAATTTCCTGATACAAATCTATGTGATGATAGATACACATGGGAGGGCATGGCTAGGCTTGGGGGTCGGTGCTAGGCTTGTCCAGCCCCTTAGCGCCTATTCCCAAGCCTAGCCACTAAGACCTAGGCACTAAGACGGCGGAAATGGATCTTCCACATGCCTGCAAATCTTGTAAATGAAATATTAAAATAGTGACTAGACAGCGAGATGAGGTATCGCCTCCCCCCGGATGGCTGTAACTACTCCCTTGCCTAAATCTAAACTTTATTGATGATCTTATTGGTCGGGTGGGCTTCGGGGCCACGAGGGCATATGTGCCAGAGACAAGTGGTTGGGCAGGGTATAGGGCAGGCGTGCCATGCTTGCCCCCCCCCCTGGCGGCGGAGGGGCAGCTCCCTTCTAGAGTCCACTCTTGCCCCCCTGCCACAGTGCACCAAAGTCTCTGCAACTCACAGGTAAGAATTAAAGGAGATAATTATCCTTGGCGTGGGTCTTAGCGTGTGTGTGTGTGTGGAGGATAGGTCCTTGGTCCCTCCCTGCCCGGGATGACCCCACCGTCCAAGCCTGTGTTCGAATCTTGCCGCTTGCGTCCCATCCCACAACCAACTATCCTATCCAACCCCTTCACCCCATCACTACCCCCATGCCCCCATGGGGGCAGCAACCCACGCTATCCCTACCTATCCGTATAGCCACCCTGTTCACCACCTAGCCGGACTCCCAGGCCGCGTAGCAGAAGTCCTAGACGAAGGAGGAACATCCTGGAGCCGAGCTCACGATTCGGGGATGCTTTGTAAGCGCAGCGCTGATGGTTGATAAGCCGCGCTGCTACACGCTGCGCACCCCACACGGCGCAACCCACACACACCCACTCACCGCGCCTCACACCCACAACCCCAACCCTTACACCCCCTACACCCACCGCCTTCCCGCCCTAACACACACCCGTCTACACAGCGCTCAACTAGTGGCTTAAACCCACACCAGGAGATAGTTAGCAAGTGCTGATTTGAGCGCTGGGGTTCGAATCCCATCTAGATGCCGCTGTGTGCGTGGCTGGGTGGCCTTACGCCCTTGTAGACGCTGGGCCAAGAATTGAGATATTGTCGGGCTGCAAAATGGGATAAACTCATAGCAGGAGAAATTATCTATAGATAATCCACTCTCATCTATGGGAGGTCATCGGAAAGGTATTATCGGCGACGGAGCTATATAATTCCTGTCCATTTACCTCCTGCCAACAAGAACAGCCTGTAAGGTCCGCGTAGTGGTGGTGGAGCGCGCGATACTTCTCCCGCCAATAACCGGCCCACCTTACCTTAACGGGACCCGCTTATTGGGTTTAGATAGAAATAGAGCAATCATTGTGAGGTAGTTACCTGAGGCGGGACCCGGCCAGGGTGGTTGGGGTCATACTGACAGCCCTTCAGGTCATACTGACAGCCCTTCAGGTCATACCAACAGCCCTTCAGGTCATACTGACACCCCCTTCAGGTCATACTGACAGCCCTTCAGGTCATACTGACACCCCCTTCAGGTCATACCAACAGCCCTTCAGGTCATACTGACACCCCCTTCAGGTCATACTGACAGCCCTTCAGGTCATACTGACAGCCTTTCAGACCATACCAACAAGCGTTCCCTTCCCATAGCTCATGGTAAGCCTTACCCTACTGTTTTTTTTTTTTTTTGAGATATATACAAGAGTTGTTACATTCTTGTACAGCCACTAGTACGCGTAGCGTTTCGGGCAAGTCCTTAATCCTATGGTCCCTGGAATACGATCCCCTGCCGCGAAGAATCGTTTTTTCATCCAAGTACACATTTTACTGTTGCGTTAAACAGAGGCTACAGTTAAGGATTTGCGCCCAGTAAATCCTCCCCGGCCAGGATACGAACCCATGTGGTTTACACAATGGTGGGTACAGGAGCGGATTGATTACTGTAATTATTACTGTACAGGAGTCAATAATCTGTTCCTGTAATTATTAAAGGAGCAGATTATTGAAATATATATATATATATATATATATATATATATATATATATATATATATATATATATATATATATATATATATATATATATATATATGACAGTGTCAGACCACGGAGGAAAATTGAAACAGGAATTTCCTTAAGTACTTTCGTATATTAATACATCTTCAGAAGGAGTATCTTCCACTCCTTCTGAAGATGTATTAATATACGAAAGTACTTAAGGAAATTCCTGTTTCAATTTTCCTCCGTGGTCTGACACTGTCACATTTTTAATCACGTGTTTATTTTTCGTGATTTACACACACACACACATATACACATATATATATATATATATATATATATATATATATATATATATATATATATATATATATATATATATATATATATATATATATATACTATAGGTTTGAGATGGTGCTATTAAAGGTACTGACAGTTAAGAGGCTATGGTTGAGGAGGCGCTGAACGAGGTGGTAATGACAGTGGTAGTTAAGGTGTTACAGGTGACGATAGTGAAGGTGATGATAGTGATGATAGTGAAGGTGATGGTGGTGATAGTGAAGATGATGGTGGTGATATTGAAGATGATGGTGGTGATATTGAAGATGATGGTGGTGATATTGAAGATGATGGTGGTGATATTGAAGATGATGGTGGTGATAGTGAAGATGATGGTGGTGATAGTGAAGATGATGGTGGTGATAGTGAAGATGATGGTGGTGATATTGAAGATGATGGTGGTGATATTGAAGATGATGGTGGTGATATTGAAGATGATGGTGGTGATAGTGAAGATGATGGTGGTGATAGTGAAGATGATGGTGGTGATAGTGAAGATGATGGTGGTGATAGTGAAGATGATGGTGGTGATAGTGAAGATGATGGTGACGATAGTGAAGGTGATGGTGGTGATATTGAAGATGATGGTGGTGATATTGAAGATGATGGTGGTGATAGTGAAGATGATGGTGGTGATATTGAAGATGATGGTGGTGATATTGAAGATGATGGTGGTGATATTGAAGATGATGGTGGTGATATTGAAGATGATGGTGGTGATATTGAAGATGGTGGTGGTGATATTGAAGATGATGGTGGTGATATTGAAGATGATGGTGAAGGTAGTGAACACCATACAAGGGGGCAGGAAGACTGGAGACATATACTCTACTGAACATTATACACTCAGACATATACATACCAATTTTGAAGAGAATTCGTAAGACCGTTTTTGTGATATTCGGCAAAATCAAACACCCCCCTATAAAAAAAAAATAAAAAATAAAATTAGTTTTTAAACTGCTAATAGAAATATTATTCAGTACAAGGTATAGTTTAGGAGCCTAACTAAGGCTTGAGACAACACCAGCTATGGTGCAGTTTAGTAGGACTAATTTTGAGATATTGACCAAAATATTCACTATATAAGATTCCTCACACACACACACACACACACACACACACACACACACACACACACACACACACACACACACACACACACACACACACACACACACACACACTCTCTCACAAACACACACACACTGACCAAAGAGCCAAAGCTCAACCCCCGCAAGCACAATTAGGCGAGTACCCACACATACACACACTATAAAATAATCTCTATCCAAAGTTGGTGACCAAAGGCATAGGGATAGCCTCACCAAACTTTGCAGTATGACTGGTCTTGGGCCTGGGGATGGTCATAGGCGGGTCGGTGTCGAACCCCCTGTACATAATATATATTAAATTTCCTATGTAATTAAATATGAGCCTCAATCTTCACACTAAGCCTCCCTCTCTCATATTACTTTCCACGTGAATAAATGTGTTGAAGACGAAGGAAAGATCCCATATATATGTATAAGTGTATTGAAACCCAAATTTTCGGATGTAAACTGTATCTTTTCTCAAGTTGACTGTAAACAATGTTCTAGGAGTTTATGATTATACTCTTCAGGAAAGTTATCTTTAGATGATTTCGGGGCTTTAGTGTCCCCGCGGCCCGGTCCTCGACCAGGCCTCCACCCCCAGGAAGCAGCCCGTGACAGCTGACTAACTCCCGGGTACCTAATTTACTGCTAGGTAACAGGGGCATAGGGTGAAAGACACTCTGCCCATTGTTTCTCACCGGCGCCTGGGATCGAATCCAGGACCACAAGTCCAGCGTGCTGTCCGCTCGGCCGACCGGCTCCCACCCTGCCTACAGTTCCCAAAAATCAGGATAACTGAGCATTCTCCTGAAACTTCGACGACTCTGGGGGAGTATAATTACAAAGCCGCCTCATGAGGGACACCAACTGGTTACCTGGGTGATTACCTGGTTGATTACCTGGTTGATTACCTGGTTGATTACCTGGTTGATTACCTGGTTGATTACCTGGTTGATTACCTGGTTGATGGGGTTCTGGGAGTTGTTCTACTCCCCAAGCCCGGCCAGAGGCCAACTGACACACCCTGCAACACACAAACACAAACTGACACACCCTGCAACACACTCAAACTGCACTACACGACAAAAGCACTACACGACAAACAACCGAGCCAGCTATCAAGAGTCATCCAACACTTACATACTTCAACTGTTGAGAGAGACGGAACACCCAGCATCCTGCCCAACCATCACTGCAACACAGGAGACGGGCAAGCAACAGTTGCATGAGTGATTGATGGATAGAGATTGCACGGGCATGAATAGCCCGTAAGAGGGCCCTTGCAACACGTCTTCACAAAGTGTACTCGTCAGAGTCAGGGGGCTGGGAGACTGCAGATATGTGTCAGTAATGGTCTAACTGTAAGGTGATACACTGGTTAGGGGCTGCTGTATGCACGTGCATACAGCAGCCCCTCTGGCCACAGTATAGCGTCAGTATTACCAGCCACTATATACTCACTGACCTTTGGGCTAGAGGTGAGAACACTGTACATTTGGGTAAAACCCTAATTTAGGCCCTAACCCTTCGCTAAGGGTGACCAATGTCGCGAGCGGGTTGACCTGTTCCCTGCATGACGTCACCTTCGACCAGCTCTCCCATTGGCTGGCTATTTGGCTCCTGGCAGCCACTGGAGAAACGACCCCAGGGGTGGTTGAGGTCGTTTGGAGGTGGTGTGTGAAGGGTTACGCCATGCCCTTCAGCTCGTAACTGGAGGGACTATCTATCTATCTACCTATCTATCTATATATATATAAGACTGATAGATCGACCCACGGATGGGTCGGTCTGTCTATCTCTCTCTATGACTCTCTTTCTATACCTCTGTATCTCCTCTCTTCCTCACTCTTTTTCTCTCTGCCTCTCCCTCCCTCTTCCCCTCTCCCCCTCTATCTCTCTCCACCCTCTCTGTCTCACTCTGACACAACATGTAAAATTATATAAACCTGAAACTGTGAAAAAACGTCGTTTAAATAAACACAGCGATTCGAAACTGAGGCAGTGAGGGGGGAGGGGGTGTTTGGGAGGAGGGGCGTGGGTGGGGGTGTTTGGGAGGAGGGGCGTGGGTGGGGGTGTTTGGGAGGAGGGGCGTGGGTGGGGGTGTGTGGGAGGAGGGGCGTGGGTGGGGGTGTTTGGGAGGAGGGGCGTGGGTGGGGGTGTTTGGGAGGAGGGGCGTGGGATGGGTGACGTGGGGTGGATGGGAGTGAGGGATGGGGGAGAGCTGGAGGAAGGGCGAGCTGCTCAAGGAACACACACGTCCTCCTGAACCTCAGCCTCCAACTCCACCCAACACCTCCCATATTACAGCTAATTATAGACAAAGTGTGATTTTAAATTTTGTGATCATCAGTGCAAAGGTTGCAGGATACTGGAAAAGGTACAATGCCAATAGACATTCAGGTGATGAAGGTATTGTGAGTCATTTCATGGGGTGAGTTTAGCACAGTGGGCCACGTTCAACCTGTCCTCGGGGAGGACATACACTGAGGCGGCACCAAAGAGCCAGAGCTCAACCCCCGCAAACACAACTAGGTGAGCACACTCACGGGAATGGATTGAAAACGACTACATAATTAATGCTATTATCTACTCTCTATCCTTGATTGGGTTTGCTTAAGTTTCATCACGTTTGGTTCTGTTAATACTGTGTAATATTGACGGTATTGTGAAATATGGAATTCGAAAACTATTTGAGTGTACCCGAGAATTCCGTTACCAGTAAAACAAATTCTTAAAAGAAAACGTGTTTTCAGCATACACTTCTTACATTTTAAACCAACGATTTATAATACAAAAAAAGTTATAACTTAAGATCAATCTCTATTTAAGACAGTTCACCTGCCAGTTTACATGTAGACAATTACTGGAACTGTAATATGGTTTTCAGACACTCACAAATATCTAGATAACTATCCAGATGGCTCCTCGTGGTAATGGAGTTGCTCTGAGGACTCGCTCGTCACGTTGCACTATTTTGTTTGCTGCCAATCCCGACCCACCCATGTTTGGCACATACCCAACAGCAATTACTGTGAAAATATGGTCGAGGAAGGTGAGAAAAAATGAAGGAAAGTGATAAGCTGGGGTATCATAAGGATCAATACCAAGACAGTTTATCTAACATATATGATATGAAAGAGAAAGCCGATTAGCGAGGAGTTTAAAATGTTACAGTTAGATTTGAACGACACAGCTGGTCTTAGAGATGGCTATTCAACTTCAACCCAAGTAAATGTAAGGTAATGAGAATAAGGGCAGGAGCTGGATCACATGACCAGTACACAGTGAGAGAGAAGCAACTCCCAGAACCGGAAAAGGAAAAGTATCAAGGAGACAAACCATAATACCAAGCATATCTCCAGATACACATGGACAGCATAACATCAGCGGCATATGCACAATTTGCGTACATTAACAAAAGTCTTCAGAAATCGGATCAAGGAGTTATTTAAGGTGATAAAGAATATCTGTGAGACGCCAGTAACCGAGAACTGCAACACCAGACTGGTGTTGAACACCTCTGAACGCAGACTGGTGTTGAACACCTCTGAACGCAGACTGGTGTTGAACACCTCTGAACGCAGACTGGTGTTGAACACCTCTGAACGCAGACTGGTGTTGAACACCTCTGAACACACAAGATGAGACAGTGGGGCCAAAAGAGTGAGAGGCCACAAGACAGGTTCCAGAGACGAGAGTGCAGACCACAAAAGCCATAATCTGCTAGCTCTTAAAGCCATGTTAACTTGGGTTGTATAACTTTTTATTGAGACTGGTAAATTGGCTTGGTAGCACCCTATCACAAGATTTTAATGATGGGTGGTGTAAGTGCTACCACGCTCAAGCTTTTTGTTGATGCTTTACTACCTCCCTTGCCAAGTGGAGCAATATACACACACACTGTGTGGAGAGAGGGTCCAGGGACACAGGTTCGATCCCATCTAATGGCTTCAGTATACACAAAAATATATAAAAACATAAGAACATAACAATTAAGGAAACTGTAGAAGGTTTATTGGTTCAAGTGTTGGTGCTAACATTCACTCCAGCTCAGACTCATTCATATATGTTTAACCATTCACCTGCCACAGGTAACGGTAGCCACCTGCCACAGGTAACGGTAGCCACCTGCCACAGGTAACGGTAGCCACCTGCCACAGGTAACACTAGCCACCTGCCACAGGTAACACTAGCCACCTGCCACAAGTAACACTAGCCACCTGCCACAGGTAACACCAGCCACCTGCCACAGGTAACCCTAACCACCTGCCACAGGTAACACTAGCCACCTGCCACAGGTAACACTAGCCACCTGCCACAGGTAACGGTATAGCCACCTGCCACAGGTAACACTAGCCACCTGCCACAGGTAACGGTATAGCCACCTGCCACAGGTAACGGTTATAGCCATAGCCACCTGCCACAGGTAACACTAGCCACCTGCCACAGGTAACACCAGCCACCTGCCACAGGTAACACCTAGCCACCTGCCACAGGTAACGGTATAGCCACCTGCCACAGGTAACGGTATAGCCACCTGCCACAGGTAACACCAGCCACCTGCCACAGGTAACACTAGCCACCTGCCACAGGTAACACTAGCCACCTGCCACAGGTAACACTAGCCACCTGCCACAGGTAACACTAGCCACCTGCCACAGGTAACACTAGCCACCTGCCACAGGTAACACTAGCCACCTGCCACAGGTACTAGCCACCTGCCACAGGTAACAGGTACACTAGCCACCTGCCACAGGTAACACTAGCCACCTGCCACAGGTAACACTAGCCACCTGCCACAGGTAACACTAGCCACCTGCCACAG